GAAAGATGAGGCTTTCTACTCCCGTAAAGATTTACACCCTCGGAAACCCTATACAGGGTCGCTATGGGTCAGAACCGACTTGATGGCACATAACATGCATTATTATTATTTTTTTTGGTGGTGTTACTGCTTTCTTTGTTCTGTGTGTCTTCCTGTGTTGAGGTCATGCTTTTTGTATTCTTTCTTGTGAATTTCCTCATAGTTTTAATGTTTCCATGTTCTTGGATTTTCATTTTCTTGGTATGTTGTGAAGTGTTAATTTTCTTTGAGTTTGCCTTATAGTCCATTAACTTTTCTCTCCATTTAGTGCAGCCTATTTAATCCTGTAATCTACCTGACCTTCTCACTATCTGGATCTCTGTTCCTACGTGTTTACCTTATTTTACATTGTATTTGTTTTGATCATAGACTGACTTCCCAGATTCTCTGAGTTTGTCCTTATAGTTTTGTTCTGTTCTCGACTCTTTCTTCTGTCAATATAATTCTTGGAGGTGCTGCCATGTATGTCAGTCTCTGGTTGTTGTCTGTTCTTGTTGGTTCTCAGTCCACAGAACTCCCTTTAGGATGTTTTGTAGTGCAAGGTTGGCTTTGGCAAAATCCCTTAGCTTCTGTTTATCCTGGAATGTTTTGGTTACACCATTGAATTTGATTGATAGCTTTGCTGGATAAAGGATTCTTGGTTGGCAGTTTTTTTTTCTTTCAGCATTTTATATATGTCTCCCCATTGCCTTCTTGCTTGCATAGTTTCTGGTGAGACATCCAAGCTTAATTTGACTTGCTTGCCTTTGTATGTAACACTTCTGTTTTCCCTAGCTGCTTTCAGGAATGTTTCCTTATCTTTGATTTTGGAGAGCTTGATTATGATATGTCTTGGAGATTTTCTTTTGGGGTCCATCTTTCCTGGGGTTTGTTGAGCTTCTTGAATGTTTATCTTTTCACTTTTCAGGATGTTAGAGAAATTTTCTTCTAGCAGTTCTTCAACTATTTCGTCTGTGGACTTGTGTGATTCTTCTTGTTCTGGAATGTCAATAATTCTTAAGTTATTCCTCTTTATATTGTTCAACATGAATCTCAGACCTTCTTCAGATTTTTGTATCTTTTTTTTTACTGTTTGCACTTCTATCTTAGTGGTATTGAGAGATTTGTCTTCCAGATCACTGGTTCTGACCTTCTATTTTACTCCTTTGCCCTTTCAGAGTATTGTCTATTTCTGACATTCTATTATTGATTGTTTGGACGTCTTTCTGTAGGTTTTGAATTGTTTCCAATGCTGTATCTATCTTATTTGATTGTTCCTGTAGTGCTTTCATGAGTTCTTCCTTATTTTTCTCAGCTCCATTGTAAAGTGTTTTGAAACATTTTATAATCATTTTTCTGAATTCCTTCTCAGGCATTTCCAAAGCCTGCGTTCCTTCCAGAATGTAGTCCAGGTCTATCTCTAGGGCATTTGTCTCAGGCATTTTATCTTGTTCCTAGACATGTGCTGATATGGTTATCTGCTTTTCTTCTTGTACATATTTAGTGTTTATCTGTGGCCTTAATACTTCACTGACATGTTTTGGTACTTTTTATGGTTTCTGATTACTTGCAGGTACATGTGATCAAGATGTGGGCTTCCCTTTTCAGTCTTCTTATTGCTTAACTCAGAGTAGCTTTCACAGGTGTTTTCTGCCTCCCTGGTATATGGCAGTTGGTATTGGTTCTTGCCTAGGTTTTGGTGTTTTATAGAGTGTGATTGTAGCTTGACTCGATGTCAGCAGTTGGTGTCTCTTATTGGGTAATATAGGTAGAGAAAGAGTCCCCCAAAGGTAGAAGGGGGAGCATAAAACAGCAAAACAGCACCAGCAAAAAAAAAAACAAAAAAAACAAAACCCACCCCAAAACAATGACAACAACAAAAAGACGAAACTAGACTGGATACTGTAGTCTATAATTGCAGAAAAAGGAGAGGAAGGAGAGAAGGAAAAAAAAGAAAATCTGTAGCCTCTTATGAGTTTGACTTTAAAGTCCTCTTTTCAGCTTCTTGCCTTCAAAACTGCCTGAGTGATTTCAAATACCACTGTTGGTTGTTATGCTGTACCTCAGGATTTAATTTAATTTTCAGCCTGTTTTATTTTTTTAACTCTCTTTCCCTCTCTACACCCCTGTCCTGGCCTTTCCCATATTTAAAACACAACGAAAAAACCAGTTCAGGGCCAACTCTTAGGCTGAGATTATCTGTGCGCATATGTTGCAGAAGAACTCACCATCGGTGATGGTTGGGGGTGTCTAGTCGCTTAGGCAACCCCCTCTAGTCACAAGAATGGAGGGGTAAAAACAGTGGGGGAGGCCAATGAATAGATACCAAAAAAAAAAAAGAAAATCAGAACAAAGCAAAACTGACAAAGTGTATTGTCCACTTTTGTTCTGAGGTTCCCGTGGCATTTTTTCTGTGGTGTGTCTGCTCCCCCGCTTGGTCTTGCCATATGGTCTTGCCCAAGTAATGGGATCTGGACCACGGAGGGTGACAGATTCAAAAGTATACGATTTCTTACTTCAGTTTCAAGTTCCACTAGCTATAAGCCTTCAAACTACTTAAATACTCATATCTATGTGGTTCCTAGTTTTGGAGCTCTGCCCTGGATCTGCTCTGCCTGGTATTCTGTGGTATTTCTGACAGAGAACTTCACTGCACTTCCACCCTAGCAACCATCAAGCCCCGCCCAACCCAAAGGGTAATCTTGATAGAGTTTTTCAAAGGACACAGGATAATCATGGAGGCTTATTTTGAAGTACTTTCAAGAAAACTGAAACTTTTTTTGGTGAGAATAAAGGCAGGAAAGTTGTATTGAGGAATTTTTATTTTTCCTCATTCTTGAAGGATAGCAAAAGCTGTCATAGGAGAATTTCATTGGCAATCCTTACCTCATCTGCCCTAAAGCCATGATTTTTCCCCTTTAGACTTCTTTTTGTTCCCCAAGCACAAAGAATACTGAAAAGAACAGAATATGAGTCCCTCAAGGATGTCAAAACTTCCATTTTCATGTGGTATTTAGAGAAGAAAACAGAATTGTTGGATAAAGGGTGAGAGAGATGAAAATACTGTCTTTAGATATGTACAAACCTAGATGGAAGATATGTTAAGACACAGTATCTTTAAATTTTGATATTTTTGTTTAATAAAATTTTCTATGAGTTTGTAGTTATCCTTTTAGACTTACCCTCGTATACCTCTTAGCCACTCCTCTGTTTGTACTCTCTCCTGCTCTGCCACTACAGAGGCACTGAAGCTCCCTGGGATTCTATGCTAAAATTGGTTTTCTTCTGGTCACTCCCATGAATGGTTGAGGCTTTTGCTTCCTCAGTCTGAAAAGTCAATTGTCATATCCATATACTGTCTAGCTTCTGGAATTTTTGTTTCCTCTCCATTCTGTGTCTCCATGCAATTTTGCTGCTGAAGAGTTTTCAGTGCCTTCACATTGTTCTTATGGCAAGTCTAAATTTCTCAATTTGATATTCAGTGCCCACTATGAGCAGGTCCTGGCAGACCTCCTAGCCCTCAATTTTCCATCATGTGCTTTTTCCTTCTGACAGGTCTCCTAGCTATACTTATAGCAACTTTGAGGCTTGCTAGTCTTTCTGGTCCTGCAAAAATTAAAAAACCTCAGAAACCCTATACAGGGTCGCTATGAGTTGGAACTGACTCAATGGCATTTAACAACAAGTAATGCCTACTACCTCCTCCTTAAAACTCTTTACTGGCTGCATCCTGGCATGCTACCTTAAAGTGTATTAGGGAGTATTTCCAACATCCCTTGGCTATGGGTGGGAATAGCTCTGTCTTACAGATTGTTGTTGTTGTTGTTGTTATGTGCCATCGAGTCGGTTCCGACCCATAGCGACCCTGTACAGGATTTCCGAGGGTGTAAATCTTTACAGGAGTAGAACGCCTCATCTTTCTCCCGCGGAGCAGCTGGTAGTTTTGAACCGCTGACCTTAAGGTTCGCAGCCCGATTCGTAACCACTACGCTAGGAGCCTGGAACTCACAGAAGTTTAGCAACCTGTACAAGGACACAACTAAACAGTTATTGCTACTTGGTCTGACTCTTCCCATTAGGTAGCACTGTTAACTGATTGGCTGACTGACTGACTGACTGATTGACTGATGTGGGTATTTGCAGTTAATTTTGAGTGTTTTAAGCATTTTTCTCTGGTAGTGCAGTAGTTACAAATCGGACTGTTAACCACAAGGTCGGCAGTTCGAAACTACCAGCCATTCCGCGGGAGAAAGATGAGGCTTTCTGCTCCCGTAAAGATTTACAGCCTCAGAAACCCTGTGCAGAGTCACTATGAGTCAGAACCAGCTCCATAGTACTTAACAATAACCACAAGCATTTTTCACTTATTTATTCTTTTTAACCTTACAATGTAGAAAATTATCCTGCAGACAGGAGATGGGCAAAGATAGGAGAGGCTCTCAGGAGAAATGTGCTCAACAGTCCCTTACCCTGTCCTCTCTCTCTAGTAAAGTTTCCCTGTGGAAGAACAGTAAAGAAGAAACGTAACAATTTAAAGCGAGATGTAGACCAAGTCGACCCACGTCTTGTCAATGGGAAGACTACGAGATGGGGAGAGAGCCCTTGGCAGGTGAGAAAGAGACAGTTGGAAATTTCTGCTTAGTATGCAAGTGAAGTGCTGATTTGTCCTAGATGGGACAGGGGTGGTGGTGGTGATGTTGTATTAGGGAGAAATAGAGATAGCCTGACAGAAGACAAAGTGCTCTACAGGAAGGAGATGTACATTTGTGAAAAAGAGCTCTGCTGATGGAGTTTTTGGCAGAAGCCTGGCTCATGGAAGTGGTATCTTACATGGGAGAAGCTAGGAGTAACAGTTGGCTTCTGACTATATTTATAGCCTCAACATAGGAATTGGCACTGAGTTAGTCTCCTTGTCTGCCAGAACTGGGGGTACAGAAATCAACAAGCAGTCCCTGGCCTATGACAATCCTCAGACTCTGGGAGGGTTGGGTCCCTAAACAGATGGCCACCCAGTGGGACCAGAGCTAGGATAGAGGCAGCACAACTGTGAAAGTCCAGGGGCTGGACTTCCCAAAGGACACTTGACCTGGTTCCAGCCCATAAGGCCAATTATAACTCTGATGGTACTGATGTATGTAGCTGAGGATGACCACAGCAAGGTAACAGCATGGCCAAAGGCAGGGAGACCCTTTGGAACACATCACAGTTGTGACACAGACAGAGATAGGAAATGGCAGAGAACAGCAACAAGTCTGGTCCCACGTGACCAGGGAACTCAGCAATGACCTAGTGCAGTCAGTCCCCAGTCTAGAAAAACATGCTGTTTCATCTCTAAGACTTTGTCTCAGAGTTGTCAGAGATTGCACTGTGATGGCAAATTCTCCCCCTTCATTGTAGGTGATCCTGCTGAACTCCAAGAAGAAGCTGATCTGTGGGGCAGTGCTCATTCACCCCTCCTGGGTGCTGACTGCAGCCCACTGCATGGAGAACACCAAGAAGCTCACTGTCAGGCTTGGTATGGGCCAAAGTCCAGTGGGAATCCTAGAAAAGGGTGGGACCAGGCAGGCTTTCCAGATTTGGGTGGCTCGGGTCCCCAGGGTGCTCAAGAGGCTGTTTAATTTCTACAGACATGGTGGGTGGCATCTGCAGTGGGATCTGATATGCTGCAGGTAGGGGATTATCTGGGGTCCCTTTCAAATCTGGGTATAGACTGAGTGCAAGTATGTGCATGTTGGTGTTTTAAGTAACAGGTTGAGTACACACTGACCTCTTCCTATTAATCCATATGGGGCAGGCTGTGTGTGGGTTATCAGAGTCCTCAGGCAATGAAGGCCTGCAGGCCTGTACACTGCCTGGCCCAACCTATGTCCAATGCCCACAAGGGAAGGAGATGTACTAGGGTGGCCTGGCATCAACTCACACAGCAAGCTTCCCCATGCCACTTCCAGGCTTGACTGAAGTCTTCTCTGTAGTAGGCTTGGGATCCCCATGCATAGGCCCCCATCCTATAACAATTTCTGGAGGGGCTCTCACAAGTCACGCAATAAGAAGGAAAAGATAATTCTGACTCTTAAAATTACCTCCATCTGGGGATTTCTAGCTCTCCTC